TACATCCTTAACTGAGAATATCAAAGTCTTTGATCTGAAACGCTACAATGTGACAGACTGACAGCCAATTTAATTTATAAACAAGTATTACACATCGTTTATTCAGTGATCTCGTACTATGATTTTCATTTACATCTTGTATACATATTCTTAAATTATTTACGTTTCATCTTTTCATCGTTTCATGATTGATAAACAACCGCATGTCGCGTTTTATCCAATATACACATTGGAATACATGCGATGTTTGCTCCACGTGATAAAAGAGTCAACAGTCACCATGCAGAGTTAATAAAACAGTTAATAATTGATATTGATCGATTACATCGTTTGGAAGTTAATCATTTATTTGCCGATAAAATGTTTTATCGGAACATAAAACGTAAAGCGAGGAGCGATGATCTTTCAATATACGGTGAACATAGTAAGCGAATGAGAGACAAAAGAAAAAGTTCGCAGATCCGTAAATTGAATTTCATTTCGGCTGAATACCGTGCCTTCATCGCGCCGCTAAAAAGACGGACTAATTGCGCATAATGAAATAACGAGCAGTTTAAACTGACCACGATCCATTTAGCTGGAGGATAGAGAAGAATGGTCGAACAGACTGTTTCAGGGCGTTCATTCCACGCTTTATCTCAGGTTCGCGTTCCCTTCGACCGACTCGCTCCAAAGAGTATTATTTAAAAGGACGATTAATATAGATTACCACGAATGAAACAGTGACGTTTATTCCGCCTAGGTTTACAACGAAACTGCTATTTCATTCGTTTTAAACAAGCAATCGTATAAACAATTCAATGAAAGGTCTGGTGAATGTAGCACATGCATAAAATTTAAGCGATTGTTTATAAATTGAGGACAGAAATTCGCATGAATGCGCTGGATATTTGTTTTTTCTTTGTCCCAATTTGTACGAATTTGTATTATGTGCACATATGCATCTCATGCCTAGTAGGGATCCAACGTTTAATGCAAACGCTACATTTGCACTGTAAATAAACGATTAAATTATACATCGCTTAACGACAGGTAACATAAAGCAGCGGAAGTATTCTAGTTTTTGAAAATTTCTGCACAAGTAGTAGGGAAAATGAGGGGGTGGATGCTTTTGAATAAAACATGTCTACCAGCCCAGCAGCTACGTTCCGGGTCCATTTTTCCAGTTCTTCTACTTCCCACGTTTTCTCCCTTATTACTCCCTGCATTCCCCAATTCTTTTTTTTTAATGCAACTGGTCGACCACTTATCCATAAAAGAATGTTCTTTTCAGGAATTAATGTTAGCTGAGTAAAGGAAACGAAAGGCGTAGTTGAAAGTTTTCCATTCGAATTCTTATATAAACTCCTTCAATGTAATTAATATTAGAATGTTTAATCTTGTTTTAGCTAAATCCTTATTATGTTAATCAACTTTTTTGTTCAAACCCATTTATTACAATTAAATAAGCTGATTAATTAGACTATACTTGCTAATTTTAATTAGGGATTACTGTTTGGTTTATTAAAATATCAGACACAGGTTTGAAGAAATAAGTTGAAGTATGGATGCAAAACCTGCCTAGTCAACTCAGCTTGATTATTAATATCGATACAGCTGAAGTTCTTTGATACAAGCAATGGCTTAATTTACCAAAGAGGCGCATGCACAACATTGATTCATAGATAGAATTCACTTCATCTTTTGACGATCAACGGTGGCTGATTAAATTTTGATATGAGGAGTGGCCGTTGAAGGGGATTCGACGACGGGAACGTATGGAATGTTTCAGCGCAATGGGGCTAGACTTTACGAAACATCCGGCAGTTCGCGTTCTTTACCGTTCCCTTTGGCCGCCTCGCTTGTTTCCTTTTCCCCCGCTCGTCAACATTGTTAAACCAAGAAATTCTTTACTTTCCCGAGGTTCCCGCCGCGCTTTCCTGCTCCATTACTTCTGAGAGTTGGACGCGGTTATAAATTAGATACGCGCGCAGCATTAACGGAATTCGAAAATGTTTCCGAGAGGCTACCATAGCCTCGAAGCATTCGCTTTGTCAGACTGCGACTGGGAAATGCCCTGGATGCTTGATCGGACGTACAGTTTCTAGAATTTCATGCTCAGAATGCGGGGCCGTGATTGTAGTTGTTAGCGACTTCAGAAGAAATCTTCATAAGAGTGCTATGGTATTACATTACCCTAGAAAATTTTATACGTTGCGAAATAAGAATTATGGCGATAAAAAAAATTCAGACATGTCCCTATATGTTACTGTGAAGAGTAATTTCATATTTTTCCTACGCCACCATTCATCATTCGTAACATTGAATTGCATCTATTCATCACTTACCGCGAACAGCATTGTTGAAATGAACGAGCTTTCATCACCAAATAAAAACTTAGGAAATCATGTTCTATCTTAATCAGTAATGAGCACTGTTCGAGTAATTACGAGCTGATGATATCCAGTGGCCGACGATCATTCGCTCTAATCACTGTTGATGGATGTAAAAACTTTAGGTAATACACCTCTGATTGATGAGCTAATCGCGTGGACCAATTTTTTTTGTTTCAGGTTCTGACAGCAAGGTGTCCGATGTTGACGGACAGCCGTATACAACGTTGTTGTATAGCAACGGACCCGGGTACACGCAACCGAGGAATATTTTACGAGAGGCTGGCAAGGATTCCATTCAGGTAAGAACGCCGGGGCTCACTTTCTGGTGCAAGCGAGATATATAGCGTGGCTGTTTATTGGATCGGAAAATGATCGAGCGCAAGTATCCGGGGTACGTTTAGAAATCCATTACCGCCTTGCCGAGGGGTTCATTCGCGAAATATTCGATCGGAACACTTTCGAACTTCATATATCCCGTGCCCTCCATCGTCCTCATTTCGCCACTCTTTCATTTATTCCCACTTCTGTTTCCAGATTCTATGCAAAGCGCGCACAATGATTGGTAGCTCTTTCAACTCGATCACTTCTAATCTACCCGGGAATCACTTATATTTTTTTCATTCGGATATGCAGATGAAATGTAGCTATCATCGATACGTGTCATGTAATATTTTAATGAATAATTAAATTTGATATATAATCACAATTATTTATTTAATTGATGCAGCAAGTTTATGTTGAAGTAATTTAATAACGGTTACTTATTTAGTATGTTTGCTAAATTTCTTTTATGAACAATGAGTACTTGAGGGTACTCTAAGACTTATGACCTGAGGTGTACAATGGTACAACACTTACCCGTGATGATACGTAACAGTGATGCCACTCGAGGGTGGGCTACAAGTGGAAACGCACTTTTACACACAAGTGGTGCTCCAATTTTTCTTTCACCGAAAGTAATTTAAATTGAAAAGTTGTCAAAGGGAAAGTTCGGTAGAAGTTACTTCGAGAAGTGTTAATTACAAGAGAAATAAGGGAACGAACTTTTCGGACGGTTGCAAAGTAGCGAACCCATTCATTTTTGTGTACGGTTTCCTTTAAAAGCGAAAGTTCTCTTTAAACAAAGAAGCTTGTAAAAGCGAAAAGTAGAATTTATATAGAGGCAATTTATTTATTTCTTTGCTTCTTCTTAGATATTAACAATCCTTTAGTAAATAACCAACGCGCATATATTTCGTTCCACGTAGTTCCATAAAGGATTTGAGTGATTTCTATCATTCTGCGATGGACACGTTTCGTAAGATAAACTCGTAGCCGTCGGTTATTCGCTCCATCCCTCAAACGCGTCACTCAAACCGACCACAATGAACCGCACAAAGCATGGGCAAATGGAAATATTAAAGTAATGCAGACAGGATGAATTCCTCGTGGCATTTAATAACGTTTGCCCCCAATCGATTAGGTTTCTCTTGTCTCTCGAGTCTTGGTTGTTGCGCGGTAATTAATGTATAAACTGCGGTTTGTTCGTTGCGAAATTCTCGCATCGCGTCGTTCCCTTTGCCCATTTCTGGCGGGCTCCGGCAAAAAAGAGAGGAACGCGATTCATCCTCGATAAAATAAATGGTAACCCAGTTTCTCATAAAAATAAAGCGCGTTTTCATAAGATTTATGCAAAAGGAAGGAGGAAAAATTAGAACGAGAGCCGGCGGGAGAGAGGAAAGAAACGAATGGAACAATAAGGGTCTTGCCTTCGTTAAAATGACCGTTCTCCTGCTTCATATGCATGTGTCTATTTAGTCATGCTGAATTTTTATTCCCACGAATATACGAAGTATATAATTTCTGTTCTCTGCAAAAACTGATATAATGTTACGAGAATAATTAATGGAAAAATGTTCTTTAATAAATATATTAAGCTTTCCAATATTGATTTATCAGTTGCGAATTAAGCAGATCTTTGGATATTTTCATGTTTATGTTGTCTCTATGTTTTCGAGCTGCCGAGCAATAATCGTTGTCCCCTCGCATCAGAATGTGCAACACGTACTGTGAAACTTCCTTCTCTAACCTCGGGATGGAAAATCAATTTTTATGGACCTCGTTCTTGAAGGTTCTATGACGTGCATATATCCTGAATAAAATGGTCGGAAAATTGTTTGATCAGATAACTGTGGTCGCTTTCATTGTATCTCAGCTGAAAAAATAGCAGTTGTAAAAACGGTTCGCTAAAAATATAGATGTGCATATTTGATATTTTTCTTTATTCGAACGCTAATATTTAATCTTTGAACTAATGTTATTTCCATTCCAGTTATATAACGTTAATTACTCTATGCTCGAAAAATATTCAATATTTCTGATGCCGCATATGAAATATATATTTTTCATTTACTGACTAACCCGGATTATAAACGTTTTATTATTTCGGATTAAAATTACTTTAATCAAATATATAACGTCAAATAGAAGAAGATGCAAACTTGTTCGCTTATCCTGCGCCATTTAATCAAAACCCGCAACGAAGGAATCAAAGCATTAACATGTAGGTCACCGATTTGGGAACTTTTCCTTTCCCCACGTTCGTCTCTTCTTTCAATTTCGAACTATCCATTCACCTCCATCTGCTACTGAAATTTAACGGCCAGCATTTTCACTTCTACGTACATCTTCCTTAATAATATCTACATACAAATGTATATGTACGATTGCATGCACAAATATTTTCTCATACGAATTAAATCAAGATTAAAGTAGAAAAATATTGCTTACTAATCAATCATTTTTTCATTTCCTAAGTAGATTTTCGTACGATGCAAATGGATTACTCTTATTTACTTCGATCAGACTTATCTGTCATATTCAGTCACTGTATCTTATATCCATTTGTAACATACCCTCGTATCGTAGCACTGCTGTGTATCATTTAGAATGGGCAAGGTTTACATCATTGCACATCCCCATTCATAAATCTGAGGGCACTTTAAAATACCTATTGTATACACAATAAAATTGACAAATATTCCAAATTAATTACCATCAATTTCAATTGAATGATATGAACGCAAGTGGATTTGCGCTTCAAATCTGTTTAGTTTACTCCGTGAAATTTTATTCCTGTTCTCTAACGAGAAGTAGACGATTCTCAATTACACAGTGTTCGAAGGGTAGGACCTCTCTAACGGCTGGATGACGAATGATAACTGCACCGCACTGCGATATTTAAGGTTCCCCCATGGACGCACAATAATTCCTTTGGATATCGTTACGGAGTAGATTTCGGCCGCAATTGCGGAACGATCGTAAGAGAGCTGGCACTCTCGTGGGGTTTCCTACCACTCGTCTTCCTTCGATTCAACGTTTTACGACGGCTCTTTAACCTTTTCTTCTGACCTGCCCTGTCCCGATGTGCTGGCAATTCTGTTTATTTCAGCGAAAACCGGATTTCCTGAATCGTCGCACGAGCTGGCTTATTCATTTTTGATTTACGATCCCCTTTTGGGAAAGAGAAACTTTGTCAAGTTTAAGAGGGTTCCCATTTTTCTGGCAACAATCACTAATTTATTTCTTTCGATTTCTATAAAAGTAGAAAAAGAAAGAAAAAAGAAGTAGAAATTGATTCCCTTTGTTGTTCAAATATTCGCTACCGTTTTAGTATTCTTCCACTATAATTTACTAAACGAGTTTAGTACGTTTTCCAGTGCTCTCATAATTGAACGGTAATAAATATTCCTCGCTTCCGTTTGCGATTCTTGGCTCATTGCACGAGCGTGCAATGGAAGTCAATGACACGGGTAATAAAGCAAAGCTTTTGCACGAGAAATTTCGCGAACCGTGGGGGTAGAATAGGATAACGGAATTCCTTCAACCCGATTGTTCCGGGTACGCGCGAATAGCAATAAGCTTCGAGAAAATCTTACGACACGACCGTACCTACTGCCCCGAGTTGTAACGCCACCCCTCCGGGGCGTCGTGTTATAAATTATGCGAACGTCTCACACGAAAAATTGCAGGAAGAAATAGATCTAGAATTGCTCCGGTGCTCATGGAACGAATGGGATATATCGTAAATGATTGAGATAGGTAATCAGTGCAATAATGAATAAGTATACGAGGACAGTGCGAAATTTATTAACAAGCTATGAACCATTAAACGTATAATTCGATATCTACGTTAAATCAGATTAAATAATAAGAAATAAAAACATTTGCATTTCTTGTATAAATTTAATAATGTATAAATAGATTTTTATTTTACGATTCTTCTCACGACACGAACATGGAACATTAATTCGATCTATCCTTAGGCACTGTCTATATCCACAGAACAGCGAAGTTGGTTCGACGTTGGTATAAAAGTCCTAGATACTAAGTAAGGATCGCCCGCGGATCGTCTATCCGAAGTAAATGCATCCGTGGCTCGTCTTGGTTGGAAGTTTCGCTCCTGTCGATTTCAATTCTCAACGGGTTACAGTGCTGCGAGGGCTTTGAGCTCGACGAAAGTTGTACGCGACGTGGTGGCGTATGCTCGACACAAATGCCTGGTACCGGCATTGTTCCCTTTCTCCGTGGTAAAAATTCCCAGCCGTTATCGACCCTTTGGGATGAACCCTTTCATTCGATCGCGGTGTTGAATACGTCAAAGCGGATTCGTCGAGTTTCAACCATCATCGGGAGTAGCCTTGTGAGGCGGTTCTTTGAAGCTTCATTTCGCTCTTTTCATACGCCCATTTTCCTCTGGAGGCCGTTGTAAACAAAGGTAAAAATGAAAAAGGAATCGCGTCGCCGCGAGTTATCCGAGGTGTTGGCGGTGCATCGGCTCCCTTCACCGCGACAGGATATCAGTTGCTCGTGCATCATAATTACGAGGTCGAAATTGCAGGCTCCTATCCGTAGTCCCCACCTTGGTCTCTCGGTAACGAGGCCGTCGGTTGGAATTTCGTTCACGCCGGGAAATCGCGGTACCGACTGGGAAATTTATGGCGTTGATTTATCACCGCTGTTCCGCGATTATCCTTTCGACGCGGATTACGAACGGCTTCACCTCGGTAATAAGAAATATCCGTGATGAGCGACGAGTGTCGGATCTGCATTTAAATTTTACTCTTCTCTATTTCTCATATCTCTGATACGAATATTGCAAAATCATGACTATACGTAATAAGTATTATCAATAATTAATAATATCTGTAAACCCAGAGCATTGTTCAATGTAACTTATCAAGAAAATAATAATACAATGATACGTAAAAAGTATAAAAGCACAACCGTTACCTGGTTGCGAATAAGATACAGCCACTAATTAATGCAAGTTAATTTAGCCATGAATCGATCAAACGTCCTGTTTTGGGTTGCAGACAGCGGGTGTGCCACGGGCTTGGGCAACACATGGCGGAGAGGACGTGCCGGTGTTCGCCATCGGTCCTCTGGCGAGTGTCTTGTTCTCCGGTAGTGTGGACCAGAGCTACATACCTCATGCGATCTCGTACGCCTCCTGTCTGGGTCACCACGCGAGCCGTTGCTCCCGAGATTCTACGTCCGGCAACGACACAATGAGCATTCCGATAAGCTGTCCCTCGGCGGAGCCGAACAGCGCCGCGATATCCAGCGACGTGATGAACGACCAGGCCAGGAATCCACCCACGAAATCCGGCGCGTCTCTCGAACCGGCCGGCTCCCGTATATTGGCCGGTGTTCTCCTGCCCCTTATCCTCGCCACTCTACCCTGTACCACGTTCGAGGGAACGAGTTAATGCCCATTAGAGCCTCTTCCGGTGAACGAATCCCAGCTACGTGCGACCTGAACTATACTGTTTGGGAAACTTTTGGTCAATCCTCTATTATAATGGGACAACAGGTGATTCGATTGATCGCGTCAGTACCAGGATCGAATATCTTCATAACGTTCGTACGGCTCTGGTTGGGATGATGAATCAGTTCTAAATAAGATCAGATCAACCGGATGAGGGAGAACCGACTAACGACGTTTTAATTTTTATTCTATCCTTCGGTGAGATAGAAATCCACGAGAAATCGTGTATAAAATAAGGAAATAAATGGCTTCCGTGGAGGATACGAGGGAGCGGTCCGTGGACTGTATTCGGGTTTCTAAGCGCGCGGGTATAGTTGAATAATTTATCAACTCAGCTCGATACGTCGGGGGAACGTCGATCGAGAGCGACGCCTATTCCACGACGCAAGCTATTCGGAAAATCCATGCTGTAGGTTAAATGGACGGCTAATGTACGGCGAGGGGATGTCTCTTATCTCGCAACGGTGTTACGCCGCGCCGCCTCGAAGGCAACCGGGATTAATACTGAGCCTGAGCATCGCTTCTTCCTGAGAACGTCCGCGCGTAAAACGTGTACGTGGATCGTGGTAGCTCCTGTTAATCAGTGTCGGGAATCGATTGATGATCTTGCATACTGCGCGATCCCGGAGACGTTCCGATGGGATCAAGGATCGTTCTAACGCGTGTCGATGTGTTTTGTACACCGATCGCGTGGGAGACCTGGCAGTTTATCGAGGAGAATGCGTCTGAAAGGACTCAAAATACTATTGAACGACGCGGAACGAAGATCCCTCCGATTCTCTCCCGTGGCGCCGCTCGTTTCGACGAAAAGTTAATGATGGTTCTTGCCTAATCTCATGGAGAATTTAGTGGCACGTGGAGATTCAAAGCAGTTTGGGGGACAATTTGCGACGATCATGACTGTCCCAAAGCTGCCGGTGGATTTTATCGTCTTTCGAAATTTTCACGGAATATAAATGGGGTTTACAAGTGTTACGTGACGGAGGCCCCCTCGGTACGCTCGGTTCGATTAAGGGAGTCAAGTTTGTCGGGACACGATCGTTGAAACAAAGTGTTGAGTGTGGAAAACAATGTTCCACGTGAAAATGTTACATGACTTTGTTACGCTTTACTTTCTAGTCTACTCGATTTTCGAAGCGATTGCGAAGTCGCGCGTATCATGTGTGATGTTAGGAATTAAACGATTGTCGAAACCAACGTACACAGACACCGTATTAAATATGTGAAACTGTACGTATCGACCGTTTTGTTTTAAACATGGGAGATAGTAAAGAGTAAGGCTCTGTAATTACGTTTGGATTATCGATATAAAGCGTATAGTTGAGAGAAAGTGAATAAAACGTAGGAGAATAAATTTTTTCTTCATTGTTTTGTTTCTATTAGTTAAAAGTCATTTCGTGAAATGTATTATACGGATAAAAGTACGAGACGAAATGTGTAAAATTTGTATGATAAAATGAAAGTATAATATTTTATCAGCAATATTTTGTTCTCTACTTACACGGTTCTTCGAAATTCTTATTATAGCCATCGGCTGTTTGTATGTATCATTAATCACATCACTTTTGTATTTTTTTTTTTATAGAGAAGTTGATAATACTTTGAACATCGTTAATATCAGGAATTGACTGTAACAAATATCTCAGACAACGTGTACTTTAATGGTTGATTTATGTTACTCAGAATCCAAATGGGATCGAATACAAACGGTATCGGAACTGTTCCAAAGAAGTTTCTCATTAGCATTCGAATGGAGATTTCAGGGTTTGGAAGTGGTCGATGGACGCTGAATTCTCCGAAGGAAATTCGCGTTTAATTCAAATTTATGATAATTCGTCCTATGATATCAAATTTAATAGCGATTCGTTGCCGCCTGGAATTTCACGGAATCACGGCGACTATTTTTAGGTCGTCTGTCGACTGGAACGGTGTGATTTGATTGACCGTGTTCGCGATAAAAGTGCGGAAAAGTAGGAAGGATTAAGAGCGAAAGTGCTCCGCTTGCGATCGATACGGAGGTGACACAAACGGCGAGAATCAACCTTTCGCGCGACGAAATCAGATCCATTTTAGTTTTCGATTACTGCCGCGTGAAAAGAACATTTTTCGTGCCATTGAGACATCTCGATTCGCAATTCATTCCTCTCTAATAATATAATACAAATATATTTATTTTTATTCACATACAACTATTCGTCAACTTTACGACCTTCAGATTTAAAATCAAATTTTACAAAGGGTTTTAAAAAGCGTAGGAGGCGTCGCGGATTATAATTTCGATCCATCACGTGCAACAGGAAAATCCATTTAGATACAATCTCTCGCATACTTCCGGCACAAATTCGAAATAAAATCAGCGAGGTTCTATGCAGATTGATTCGCAGATTTTTTCAGAAAATGCGATCTCTGTGTCGTTACGTGCGAATCGGGCTGCTGAAAATTTTAAAGCGAATGAGATATGGAATTTGATTTCGCCGTCACCCGACCTCATCGATACGTTCTATTTTCAACTACTGCCGAGATCAGCAATGGGATATCTCTCGCCTCGTCTTCCAATACACACACGTGTTCGCCCATCCACTCGTCGAAAAACTTAATTTTGGTCCTCGATATTTTCAGTTTGTATCCCTTTCTCCTCGACTTTTCCATTAAAATTGTAATCAAAACCTTCGCGCCGTTGACGGGAAATTAGTTTACTTAGATATGGTACCTTCGCTGCGAGGGAAGATCGTCGCAAAGAGCGGAGAATTCATTCTCGTGATATCGCGAAGGCCGGGTAATTTCGTGGATGCGAAACTGGTTTCGCTTAATTCGCTTTAAACAGAATTTCTTGCGCGATGATGAAGTGATCACGAGCAACGCTTCAAAGCGCGACACAATGGAGATTTACTCTCCTCATGTTAAACGAGTTATGTGCATTATTTTTCATCCTTACAACCTTATATACTAACTTGTTATTGTTCGGGCAAGCGTGTGTAACGAGGAAATCAGACATCTTTGAGTAACGTTCACTTTGTAAAATAAATAATAATATCGAACTCTAGTAAATTATTCTTTGTACTTAAGCTGTCGCTACTATGGAATAAAGTGAACTTTATAACAAGAAGCGGGGGAGACTTTGTATAAGTCAAACATTCAAATTTATGCGCAGTTGCTCGAGAAAATGGTGACAATGATTAAACAATGGTCAGACGTTCAAGGTAAAACAAACTTAGCCGTCGACATTGGAGGGAGATCTGGCAAAGTTAACAACGAGGCTTCGAGCGGGACAAAAAAAGATTAATTGTGAAGCTTGAAAAACGAGCATTTCAGCTTAGTGAACTTTAAAGCGAGACAAACTCCTTCGTCTGCTGTTTCCCTTGGTATTCCTTAAAAAAAAAAGAAAAGAGAAACCATCGTTTCCGTTCTTCGTTTCTGCTCACGATATAAACTGTTCCCCGAAGTTTAACACAGTACGATATATTCCTGCTTTTATTAAATTTATCACTGTTGTTCCAGGGGAATACTTTGAGAATTATGCACGAATTTATGCTGTAGTTGGGTCTACCATGAGTTTTGTATGCAAACTGTATACGTATACATATGTAGGTAAACTAAGAATACAAAACAAAGAATAATCCTGAATCCTAACATGGAACTTAACAAGCTCAAACTCTGAACCTTAGAATACATCCCAGGACCTTTTCCCTGTTTTTGAAGCGCATGCATCGTAATATCTGTACATTTCCATGACAGAAAGAAAAGCAAACTGACGTCAGTACGCATCCACGTATAAAGAATGAGGAACAATGAACATTACGGAGTTGAGAAGATCGAACGCTCTCAAACAACTCCGATATTGAAGGCGATCGTATTGGAGAAGTTTGAGGATATTAAAAATATTTTCGAATTTCAAACCAGTTTGCCCTAACAAATTGCAACGTACCCGGACACACACGAGCATTTACAGCAGATAAAGTTTCAGATGTCAGCTGCTAACTCCGGTAACAAGCAAACAGTTAACCAACTTCGCCAGACAGTGGCTTGAAAACTATCAGTGCAATATCCACATCAATTGCCCATACAAGTCAGCAATTTCGAAAAGTTGTTAGAACTAACTAACATTAGCGCGAGAGTTTTGGTAAAGGCATGAACGGGGTTATTTTAGAAATTTTATTTTCGAAAATACAGTTTCAGAAGTTAATTTAAAAATCAATGAAACGTAAATAAGGAGAAATTATGTGTACCATTACAAGAATAAATTCCATTGACAAATATATAAAAATGGATGTATAATAGTAGTCTCCATTTTTTTTCGAAAGAGAGTTCGTGTCGAACCAATATCGTTAATCAATAAAAGACACTGAAGCGCAAAGGATCGTTGGGCACATCCACGCAGGTCGTCGCGCGATCTTGCAGCTTGTCTAAGCCATAAAACCCTTTTCCTCAGCAAAGGGGGGACAGCGTATTCTGAACGACAACGAATATCCTCGCTATTCGTCAGAGGCATCGTGCCTCTCGAACATGCAGATATTTCACAAGCATTACCTTGTTTCTTTCTTACGACCCGTTTTACGGTTGTATGTTCTTACGAGCTGGTCACCACCTCTGCAGGGAAGCGTTTCCCAGCATTAATAAAAGAATGCAGTAAACGTGGTACCTTGGCATGCTGTTCGCGAACACGTCGTAAATATGTTGTAAATATTTTTTGTGAGACGTGTAAATCGTTCAAATGTAAACGGGTCTTAAACGGAATATCGACTTAACTAGAACGGGTAACAGCAATCTAGCTTTTTATTCAAAAGCTTTTTATTCAGAAGGAGAGTTAGAAATATTGTGAGATGTGTTTTAGAATTGCTACAGAAATTGATTAAGTAAAGGATTAAGAACTTTTCTGACACAGTACATCATGCCGATAGCAAGGCCAGCCTGGTTTCGAAAATTCGAGCAATTTCTGTTAGGCGAGGAATCGATTTTCGCGGCCTAACTCGGGGATTAATCCAGGCCGGTAAATTTGGTGAAATAGGAAAAACTCGAGGCGGCTCTTCCTCTCGTTGAAAGATTTCGAAACGGCGAAATCGAGCGAACCGGTCTCGTGATTGAATTGAGGAGCACGAGATAAAACTGAACGGCCACCAGTCACCTACAACCTTTAGGCTCTTCTTTCCCTTTTCTCTTTCACCTTTCTCGAAACCAGATTTCTCTCCTCGCTAGTTAGGTAAACGGGAAAATGAATTTCAAATTGCAGTGAAAAAAAAGAGATGATATTTTCAAATAGGTTTTAATTGATTGTCTGAACTCAGAGAAACTGTAATAACAATGACTCGAATAATAGAATTTGCAGAAAATAGAACGTTCTGACGTTGGAGCATCGTCTATTCAATTTACATATTTCTCCGGGGTATCAATGTTAATAAACAGAAAATTAATCAGGGTTGAAAATACGACGAAGAAAATGGGAAGATTCTGACAAGGGAAAGACGGAGCATGGATTTGTCAGAAAACAAACGAAAGCGTAATCATAGCGGGGCCAGAGATTAATTAACTTGCTGTGTTCTCGTGGACAGGCGATGTCGCATCGGTCTTTCAAACTTTAGTCATTTGAAATTTGCACACGACCGGCGCGAGGAGAAATGATGCCAATTAAAACAGCATCTCTTCGTTTATTTCTTGATGACGGTATTGATTAATCGGTCGCCGTTAATTTTCATCGATATTGACAAATTTGTGTTCAAAGTTGCGTGTCAAATGGAACCACAGAACGTAATTAGCAGTAATTGAATATCGAAAATACCTATCGATATTGTATAACAACGTGGAAACGCAAGAGCAGAGGAATAATGTAGAGATGAACTGAAATAACAATATTAATTACGTTCGATCATTTTCTTTTTAAATGTAAATGAATGTTTCAATGAATAACGATTGCTTTCAGAGGAAATAAACACAAGTTTTGTCATAAGTTTGTAGGACATAATCGAATGTTAATGAATAAGCTAAATAATTTATCATACATTTTACAATAAGGGCACGATTCAAATTCAGTGATTCATTTGTAAACGTTTGTATTATTTTTAGCAATAATTAATCGACATGTTTCACCGGACAACGATTTACAGTTTAAATAACGAAATAATACATATACATAAATGTATGTATATCTATAATAGTTTTGCGTTCAAGTGGACTGTTTTTACAACGTTAACTTTACAGGGTCTTTTACGAAATGAATTCAGCAACGGGAATGAATATTAAATAATAAACGAAGCACAGAAAGTAATTGCGTAGATGTATACACAGATACTTTAGGATCAGTAATTTTTATAACATTTCTATTTGTTAGAATTATTATCTACTTTGGTCTCTTTCGCGTAAACTACATTACATTCTAAGTATTTTCAAGAAACACAATTCCTATTTATGTTAATTTCTCATATCTGTTTCATTGTAATATAATCATTGAACACGTGATAATATACATGGTTGCAAGAAGTTACTGATCAGCTTGAATCGCAGCCACTGGCGACAATAAAGTCCCAAATTGTTGATAAATACTCATGACGAAGGATTTGACAAGCGCTGTTAGAAGCACAAGACATGCCTATCCAAAGTTTACACACGATCAGGAAATTAACTTTATCAATTCGATGAGACATCAAGAATTTTGCACACGTAAGAGTGTTCGTGGCACTTGGTGGTACTTATCCATGATTTTCACGGCTACAGTAAAAAGTGAAAAAAGAATGTAAGCAGGAAAACTGGCTTTAGATGTTATTCACGTCCCTCAGAATCGTTTGTTACACATTGCGTTCATCTAGTGCGTGCGTGTATGCGTGTCTGTATTACGAGTATGAAACTTATCACGATCGTGCGGATCCAATTTAATGTTCTGGAATTCAAATAAAAATCTTAGAGTCGCGGATCTATTGTAAGAAACGCGATAATCCGTGAGACCAAAAGTGCGAGACGCACGCGGAGACGAATGGAACGAGCTCACCGATTTATGTATGCACACCTAAACACACGCAGTATGTAAGGAAATAAATATAAATTATATATAAATATATTTCTGTAAATAAAATGGACACGAATTATATTACGAATGGAATTTACTATAGATATCTGTATATTATTGTTTCATAAAAAAAAGATTACAGAAATGTGCACCGTTGTCGAATTTCGTTCTTTTCCTTTCCTTCACGAACTCAGGATTAGTCGATAATCAAGTGACGTAGAAGAATAATTATACTAGTGACTGTTAATATTAACCGAGATCGTAGTTCAAAATTCACTATCTATTCTGAACGGTAATGAAATTTTCAATGGCCCATGAAAAACGATGAAAATTAAGCGAATTCGCTACTGGATTCGTTTCCGAATTTCTAGACCATACGAATCGTACCATTAGGTGCAAGGATTCATCATCCTAGCTTTCAACAGCAACCCTATCCCCGCTGCTCCGTGAGCCCGATTTAATGAAGTGCAACAGCCAAAGAGCCTGATTAACTTAACGAGCAAACGTATTATAGGAGAAGCTAAATACCAATAAATTATATCGGGGCGTCGTTCCATTATGAAATGGCGTTACTCGCAGCCACCGTTTTCGAACCAGGCGAGGGTGCATAATTCACTCGGTTCCCAATATTCCGCGCGCACTCGTACATCTTCCGTGGTTTTCCGCTAATGTGCTTTAGGCAGTGCCAGGCATCGCGCGTAAATACCGATCTCCGAAGTTTCACGCCACGTGCGCGACCATGTTTCGAGAGCGTTTCGTATGCGGTTGCATCCCCGAATTGCAAAAGTTGTAGCGATAAGATGATTAACGCGTGCGCGCCCGTATCGGAAAAACGGAAACGGTTGAACCGGGGAGCAATTTCAGAGAGCATCCAGTCCGAAAAATTTCTATTAATTAGAATTTCAATAAAAACTTGCGTTTTATATTATATGTTATGTACAATTGGAATGGGTTTGGAACAAATAATTACAGAGAACATGTGTGGCTACAGTAGAATTGTACGAAACCTGGCGTGTGCACCAACTGACGTCAAATTGCAATTAACATTCTCCTGCGTCTAACTTCTAACAAATCCCTGAAGAACTTCAGTTTAAGTCTTTCCACGTCGTTGCATTAACATTATAACACGTTAAGTAGTTGTGACGATATGAAGTACATAGTTGAGTCATTATATTGCAACCGTGTACGAATTTATAATTATGCCATTGCATGTTATCCAAGTTCCCAGCAAGTGGGGTCTATATGTATAGTCACTTTTCGCTTCATTTAGCTTAACCAACCCAGCAGTATCAGGCTAACTAACTGCATAGCGTTTACCACTGGAGAACGTCTTAGCGCGAATCGAGTCACAAGGTTTGTCAATTTGTTAGTTGGCGAGACATGCTCTACCCCTTGAGAATGAAGATGGGTGCCGGAGGAGACCGAACTTAAACCACCTCGAGTATGACGCCTGGTGGAAAGCGCTTATCCTAATTAGGTCCGTGTGCAGCCACGAGGAGTTTCTTGTCGTCTAGCGCTAAGCAACGACGTCGAATAATACCAATAATGCTCGACTAAATTTACTGTAGATCGGCACCGGTGGCAAAGATCTACGCGGCATGCCTTCGACCAACAACCACGAATAGTTTCGCAAACTACAACCTACTCGTTTCGAAATTTCAACGAGTTGATCAGAATTAGTGGCAGAAATTCGTGACAGGTGACAGCCAGAGAGCCGTGAAACGACAGATTGTGTCTACGGATCCAGTGTGACGTGACTTTCAGTGATTTTAATGGTTTTTAATCAACCATTTTTTTTTTTTTTTACTAAAATAAAGACCGACAGAGCTACAAAGGTGGAACGTAATTTATGCAAATAGAATCGTGAATTGTAATAAACGCGCGAAATGATGTTTTATCTCACTCGGTAATTTCCAATTTTAATTACCCCATCACCGTACGTTGCCTGCTTTTTCCGAGGGTAAAATCGCGTTCTCGAATCTAGGAGAGAATTCAAACTTTCAGGAACTCAATCAAAGTTTTATAAAAGTAGAAACAGTTTAATTCGTTCGACAGATGCAGCTGATGATCTAATACTCGTATTCGGTAATTTCCACGCGCTGCGCCTAGAACCGATAAAGATTATATCTGAAAATTCGTGGATGGATCAGCGGGCGCTCGCGACTTCATCAAAGAACCGGAAACGGCTTCAAGAACTTCACAGATTATCCAACTGCAGAACTTTTCTCGGTTAAATGGCCTGGCAGTATTCCTGCTCGGAGGAACAATTATACTTACACGTTTCCGAACTAACTTACGGACGCCGGCTGATTTACAATTTTGATAAGATAGTGTTGGGAAGGAACGTATTGAATTCCGCTTCCTTTCGACGAATAAATTACCCACGCTGAGATTAGGCGAATTTCTATTCGCGGAATTATGGAGAGAAATATCACCTCTGTCGCTCAGCAATATCTGAAGCACCGAGGAGAGATTACTGAAGAGTGGCAGCCTCATGGGACTTTGTGTCGCACGAAAAAGTCTGGAATTTTTGACGCCCGCTAAAATACATTCCCACCGAAGTAAGAAATACAAAGCAAAACACTCGTCGGTGTTGAACAGTTGCCAGATATAAGAAAGGTCCGTGCAATTTCCTTCTAATTCCACTTGTGAAGAAATAATTGGCGATGAACGAACTAATTATGAATCGATTAGTTCTGAAGTATTTGAAATAGAAGAAAATTATATACGATCTTTCTTCTGGTAATAGCAGTGTTAACAATTTTTACTTGAAGCNATATAAAACATTTTTCGATAGCACCTAAAGTTAATGAATATTTTGCAATAAACTGTTTTATAATTTTTTGTTAAATATTAATTAATTATTGACTTTAGTTAATTAGTTAATCAACGGAAAATGTTTTATATAAATTTATGAAAATAATTCTATAGGAAAAGGGTATTTCAGGGAATGTGTCAATGGAATGTTCAATACTGACGGTAGGAAAAATGCATGAAACGAGTTTCAAAAGAATATTTAAATTCTGTTCGTAGAACAGTTCGTAGTCTGTCTGTAGTACAGCATAATTTACACGTGTTGATACAACAACAGGATTGACGTTACTCAATTTCATGAAATAATTGAACAGAACAAAAGAACGATGGAAAGTCCATATACGCATTGATGAAGGTATAACAGGCAAAGAGGAAAGGAGAAAAGCGTAACACCAAAGGCAATTTCGGAAGTTTTATATGAGAACAGGCAAAGAGGAAAGGAGAACAGCGTATGCGTGGAATGAGGGCATAGTGAATGTTTGCGCCAGCGTTCCCCAGCGTATCGCTCCAGCTACGAATCTATGGATCGAAATCGCGGAACTTCTTGCATAACGTATATTTCATGCGGCACACTTCGACGCTTGAAATTTTATGCTGTCCACTAAATCGCACGACAATGTAAATATTTTCGCTCCGACTGGGCGACTCTGTGTTGAATTTCCGCGAACCTCGCATTTCGAGGCAATTTCGGCTACATTTGTCATCAATTATAAATTCATTCACTAACTTAATTGATTCTGGATTAATTAAAAGAGCAGAAGAACTGAAGGAGACCGGAGCAACTTTTTAATGAATTAATAAGTACTAAAATACACAAAAGTCCGATCGTTCATAACTTCAAGGCATGAGCATAATTGAATGAAAATTCCGCGATTAGAAGCGGAGAAGTTTCCCCTTTAAAATACAGTTCGATGCGTTCTCATACGATTTTTAATTCCGAAAGTATAGTAGCTACATAGTTAGAAGAAACGATTAATTTTTCGCACGACACAGAAAAGCGTGTTTGATACATTTCAATGCGACTTCGAAATCAATTTCAAAATAATCATTGTATAAAAATAATCGTAGTTTCTTCTTGTTCCACTTAGAATTCGACAAAACTCCTATATTGAATTGTTATTAAAAATCCCAAACTTTCAAATATGAAAAAAAAAAATAAAACGACACATAGAATGTGTGAAGTGTAGAAGCCTCCTCTTTAAAATGACGATTTTTTATCCAGATCCGATTTTTCGTTCTAAAAATATCGTCGTGTAAAGAGAACAATTTTTTTCACGCAGTTTTCGGCGTCCTGTTCGCGCAAGTCAGTCCTCTCTTTCGCGCCTTGACCCATTTACTGACCCGCCTCAACTCCCACCGACCCGTCTAGACATCTACTACGGGGTTCTAGGAAAATAACCCTTTGATACTAAGAACAGAAGTAGAGCGGGTGTTCGCAGTAAAAAATGTTCCCCAGGCACGCAGGTCGATTCCTAGCGCAGCGCTCAAGCGACGAAACTTTGGGAGCCCAGAACGGATGAGCAAAAGCTATTCTTCTGGTCGTGATTTCCTCTCTCAACGAGAAATTCATTTTTTAAATTTACGATGTTATTCTGTACGTTCAATCTTTTAGAGCTCAATAAAATTAAAAATGGTGATACGTTATTCTTTTAATGTTAAACAATTTATCACCATAGATATAAGCACCTTTCCTACATTCTCTCTAAGGTGTTTATGCTTATCGCCTGTCAGCTACACCGACAGCTACATTTACGCATAACAACGTCGTCGGTAACGGCAGATAATGCGGGGACGATCGATTAATTTCTAAACACAGCGAGATGTCAATCGTGGCAGTCACGGGCACGTGGCTTTGAACAACGTTCACGGTGATCCACGATCTTAACCATTCCTGGGGAATCATTATCGTGCAACATTAGAAACGGAGCCATGCCGAAACTGAACAAGTTCCTGGTGACGTCGATCATCGCGGATATCAAGGAATGTGTATGCGTCTCGAACGAGATATATTCTTGGCTCGGCGATATCGAACATCTGTCATGGAAATTCCCGACGAAAACCGCCAGGGATATAAATGCCATGGAAATTGTGAGGGAGCACAACGGGACCGCAGGGGAATTTTATATTCTTCTCCTGGAGCTGGCTTACGACAGGTTGTTTAGCTTTCGCTTCCTTCTGTCTTCTCATCTTTTTTCTCTTCCCTGCTTTCGATCGACACCGCGTATTTACATAAATTTTTTATAATACGCGATGAACAAAAATGGGTTTCCCCCTTTTGCCATGTTCAATGAAGTACGAGATGTAAGATGAAGTAGAAACAGTAGTATCGTCAAGATTTTAACGTTCCGTGAACGTAGCTTGCACGATTCAATTAGGCATGCAAATATCTTGCGGCCGCAGAATCGTCAAAGGAAATGAACTAGTTTTCGCTCGGAATGCAATGGAACGCTCGGTGCGTTTCCGATCCAACAACTTACTGCATGAGTGCGAGCATAGAAAATAGATTTCAAATAAAAATGAACGATTCCTACTTCATGAATATTTCTTAGGCGAAGATAATAGAAAATTAGAGATGTTTGAATATAATTCGTAATCCTATCATAAATGTCAACGCGTCTTCTATTAAATTAGGTCATTTTCATTAAGATGAAGCTTCTCATACAGAATTCATTTCGTTCTACGTTTGATCGTCGAATTCATGGACAAATTCCCATTTATGGAAGATTTTTTCAAAGAAGTGAACTGCATCCAACGGTCGAGTCAAATTTCACTGGCCAGTTTGGTGCGGCTCGTTTGGGACCGACTGAAGACAATACCTGACTCGATATCTCGTCAGATGGTTAGTCAAACGAATTTCAAAGAAACTTAAATCAATTCAAATCACGCGTGGAGTGTATTAATGGAAGATTAATACCGATAAGAACTTTGAAAGTCACTTTGATTAATTTATGTGCGCGTGGGAAAGCTGACGTGACTATGGAACAAAGTTAAGCTAATTACAAAAAGCTCTCCAATAGCGCTTGGGAAATTAAGTCTCAAACTATTTCACCTAAGAAATTTTCTTCGAGGCTCCTCACCCACGTTCTAAAGCACATTCGCCTATCAGGTTTCGAAAATTGGTTCACGTGAAAAATACATTAAACAATTAATTGACCGAATTAAGAATTGCAGCTTAGTTTTCTAAAAGTATCTTCAATTGACTTCAAGATATAATTAAATAATATTAAAACCAGCCAACGACGTTTGATAATATTTATTAATTTCTTTCATTTAAATTCACGCGTAAAATATCAGACACACAGTCAAGTCTTATTCATACACAAAAAATAGAAAAAAATTCATAGAAAGAACAGTGAGGAGGTGTAAGGGAGTGAAATGATGGGAAGAAGACGTGCACGTTTTTTAAATCCCGCGTAATATGATAAAGATCGTAAAAATTCTCTTCCCATCCGATCGGAGGAAGCTCCCGAAAAATAGCAGCACGTCAACAGGTGAAGAATTGTAAGGACGATGCACAGGACTCTTTCGCGAGCAAAGTATCCCAAAGTTCTCAAGCAAGCAGCAGTATGAGTTACTGCGAGAGTTGCACGCTAGCTGGGATGGCCATTATTCAAGCGATAAATGAAATCGAACAGGTCTTCGGCAAGAACAAATTAGTTTCCGTCGCCGCCATTGAAAAGTAAGTGAAAAGAATTATATAAAAATGAAAAG